AACCGAACAGTCAGGAGGACGGAAGGAAAACGCCCAGTGGAGTTGAGCGGGCTGGGAGTAGAGGGCTGGGGGCTGGGAGCTGGGGGAAGCGAGGAGGGGAGGGGACAGGCCCCGGAGGAGGAGGACGGGCTTGTTTCTCCCCAAGACTGTCTGGAGGTGCCTTGCGGTGGGGACTTCAGTGATCGTAGGTCCTAAAGTCAATCGGCAAACATCTCCCAAGTCCAGACCTGGGTCCCAGCGCTGCCTCCAGCCTGGGCTTCTATGAGCCTCCGGTTCTCCACAGTTGAAATGGCATGGTTAGCCCTCCGGGGCTTGTGAGAAATGGTTGAGGCGCTAGACTCCTACGTGGCAGACTGTAGTTCGAATCCCAGATCCAGAGGCTTTAGATGCATGCAGGGAAAAAAGAGAATGGAGGAGAAGGGATTGTGGCGTGACCATCCCCCCTGGGGGGTGATTTCTCGCTTTCTGTCTCTATGTCTCTCTGTCTCTCTCTGTCTTTCTGGTGAGCACATGTGCCCTATAGCAAACATCTCTCCAAATATAAATAAGTAAATAAAATTGTTAAATATTTTTTGTAAGAAAAGAAGAAACATTATGTGGGGTGCCCAGGAGCCGGCAAGGGGGGTCCTCGGGTCTTATCCAGTGCTTCAGGCCTCTGCCTGGGTCAGATCAGCTGGGTGGGAGCTTCGCTTTCTCTGTCTCTCTGGTATCTTATCTCTCCCTGTCTCCCTTTCTGTCTCTATCTGTCTCTATTTCTTTTTTTTTTTTTTTTGAGAGGTTTTTTTTCACTATAGGGCACGTGCGTTCGCCAGACAGAGAGAGACAGAGAGACAGAAAGCGAGAAATCACCCCCGGGGGGATGGCCACGCCGCAATCCCTTCTCCTCCATTCTCCTCTCGGGATCTTGGGCACGCACGCACACGCGCCCGGTGTGAGTTTAAACCACCGGGTCCGGGATGCGAACCGCGGTTGACTACGTGGGAGTCCAGCGACATAGCCATGATGCTAACTGCTGGTTCCCTGTCTCTATTTCTTTTTTAAAGACAGCAATGCCATTTTGTTTTATTTAATTGTATGGATTTATTGTTATTCTTCAGTTTTATCAGAGAGAGAGAGAGAGAATGAGAAAGCAATCTACCAGGTCTGGGACTTGAACCTCTGGCAGCCATGTGGGAGTCCAGCGCCTTAGCCACCACCTGCCGGCCCCTTCTGTCTCTATTTCTGTATCTCATCTCTGTGTCTCTCTCCATCTCTGTCTCTCCCCTGTCTCTCCCTGTATCTCTCTCTCATTCTCTCAATTTTTCTTTCTCTCTGTCTCTGTCTCACCCTGTCTCATTTCTCTGTGTCTCTCTATCTCCCTGTCTCATCTCTCCCAGCCTATCTCTGTCTTTCTCTCCCTCTCCGTCTCTCTCTCTCCCTCCTCATCTCTCTGGTCTCTATCTCTCTATCTCATCTCTCTCTAGCTTTCTTTTTTTTTGTTTTTTGGGGTTTTTTTTTGTTTTTTTGGGGGGGTTTTTTTGTTTTGTTTTGTTTTGTTTTCTGTTAGGTTTCTGCTATAGGGCGCGTGCGCTCACCAGACAGAGAGAGACAGAGACATAGAGACAGAAAGCGAGAAATCACCCCCCAGGGGGGATGGTCACGCCGCAATCCCTTCTCCTCCATTCTCCTCTCGGGATCTTGGGCACGCACGCACACACGCCCGGCGTGAGTTTAAGCCACCGGGTCCGGGACTCGAACCCCGGTCAACTACGTGGGAGTCCAGCGACATAGCCATGACGTTAACTGCTGGTCCCAGTGCCTCTATCTTTCTGTCCCACCTCTCTCCCTCTCTGTCTCTTGCTGCCTCTGTCTCTCTGCCCT